TTTCTTCTTCCACACATCTTTTAGTCTCTGGACAATGGAGGGTGGAAGACCAATGGTAATAGGTAGGGAAGGGAAAGAAGTACTCCAATGGGGAACATCAGAATATTCTGTTCTACATGTGCATTAGGTAGCAACAGAAAACTTCCCATGCTAAGAAAGTGTATACTCACCAATGATGCAGGGCTGGCTCATATAATCATTCTTTTAAATGTATGATAAAGAAGTTAGATTTAGTTTCACAAGCAGCTTGATTAGGTCAGTGTAGCTGCGAGGTGGTGATTCAGTGGCCGTGGTTGTTTGTAATTTCAAGGCCACATTTGTCACTGAGTCACTTTGTACTTTTCACTGTAAGCCAACTTAATTTTAAATTGACTGTAATCAGTGTGGGCTATCAACTTCTTCACTGAAATGCTGACACTGTTTCTAATAGTCTGGTTGAGTTCTTTAAAAGGGAGGAGCTGACATCCATAAAATGGTAATTGTTCCTCAAGTAGCCTTGGTACTTATGATTACCCTTGAGATGGTCCACATCCACTCCACCAGTCTTATGCTCTGTGCCAAGGCGGAGATGGTTAAGTAATGAGACTAGACAGCATTGCCGAGTGCTTCCAAACATGGGCTTTAGGATCAGACTGAACAACTGAGTTTGGGTCCTGACTCTCCTAGTTACAAGCTGTGTAATCCTAGGTGAGTTATTTTGTTTCTCCAAACCTAACATTATCATTCATAGAAATCCCATTGCATTGGGCCAGGTGTACGGTAAACCCTGAATAAACTGTAACTATTATTATCATCCTAATAATAAATCTTAGAAGTTATTCTCAAGAAGTTTATAGACTATTAGAAGCTAGAAGAGGCTTACAGGTCATATAACCCAACACCCTCTCTTTGCAGATCACAAGGACCAGGGGCATGAAGTCACATAGCAGAGCTAAGACTAGGGCACAGGACTGTTTCCAGTTAGCCATTAAGCTCTGAGATCTCACAGGAGAGGACACATAATAGATACTCAGCTTACTTTGGTCAATGGTGGAGAGAAAGGACCAGTGACAACCCAGAGAAGATTGGCTCTGTGTACATTGAGGCCCTGGGGAGGCCTGTGGTCATTCCCAAAGGGGATGTGTTCAGGAGGAAGAGGAAGGACAGGCAGGTGCTGCCAGTGGCCGATGTCACTTGGTCTCATTAGAGAGAATCACCAAATAGATCGCTGATGGGATTAGATTTCCCAGCAGTTCTAACTTTCCCTACCACCTGTCATGTCAAATTCTTTCATCAGGAGGGAACAGCCCCAGTATGGTTAGTGTGCTGATGTTACCTTGGTTGCAACTGTATTCCATCAACAGTGGTGTATGTAAGAAGCAGTCTGGAGAGTCTAGAACCAGGATTGGCAAACTAAGCTCACAGGCCAAATCCAGCCCACCACCTGATTCTGTAAATAAAGTTTCATTGGAACACATCCACATTCATTCATTTACATATTGCCCATGACTGCTTTTGTGGTATACCAGCAGAGTTGAGTAGTTGGAACAGACCAAACAACGCACAAAGCCTAAAATATTTACAATCTGGTCCTTTACAGAAAGGGTTTGCCAACCTCTGGTATAGAACTTTATTAGCTGCTTAGGAGACAAAGGCCCTCTCCGGACTAAGGAAGAATCAACTGATTCCTTCAGGGTGTTTTTATGCCTCTGGCTGAGATTTAATTAATACATCTGAAAAGAAGTGTAGAGTTAGAATCCCCTTACAATACAAAGGCCATCTTTTCTTCAGTGTGGATGTGAAAGACAACTATCTATATTTTCTAAGGGTAGGTCTAGTCCTGGCCTCCCTCTTATTCTGGTGCATGGAGGAGATGGAATCAGCTTAAGAGGAAGCAAGCCCATTCCATGCATTACTTGGAGAATTAGAAGAGCCCTCTCTTAAGGAAACTGTGTACTATAAACCAGGCACTTGCCATACATTATTTTGCTTATTCATTATAACAGCCCTATTAAGTAGTATGATTGTCCCCATTTTACAGAAAGGTAAACTAAGGATGAACTAAGGACACAAAGATTTGTTAACTGTTTGACTCCATGTTGTCTGACACACATAGATGTAGTAATTCAATTCCTGAAATATCTGACTGTTAGAAGTATGGTCTAAAGTGGCTTAAGTTCACCCAAGCCAGACAAAATAGAGATCTAAGTCATTATTTCTAGAAGTTTGCACTGCAAAACACTATCCTGTAAGATACTCACTGAAAAGGTCTGGTATCTTTAGAAAACCTTGCATATGTTTCCACCCTTTTGGAAATAACATGATGCTATCAGCAAGTTATGAACCCTGAGAAATTTTCCCAAACATTTAATCATGGAAACCTTTAATCTAATTCACAACATCCCATAAAACTAATATCCCAAGGGACACACTTTGGGAACTGTTGAACTAGATGATGATGATGGTGACTGATGATACTAATGTTTATTAAGCAATTACAGTGAGCCAGGCACTGGCCTAAGTATTTACATGTATTAAATTCATTTAACACTCACAGCAATCCTGTGAGATAAAGATTGTTATTAATTCCTCTCTTGACAGATCAGGAAACCGAGGCACAAAGAGGCTAACAACTTGTCCGAAGTCATGCAGCTAGTAAGTACTAAAGACTATGAGTTCTTCAAACATGGGGATTAGGTATCTATTCATCTTTGTATACCCTACACTTAGCACAGTGCCTGGCACATATTATGAATCCGAGAAACGACAGTTGAACTAATGGGAGATAAGGTCCTAAAAAAAAGAAGTGACTAGAGAGTATTGAGTAGAACATTTAAGAACTTTAAGTGGTATTTACACAATGAAGGTAGTCCCTCATCAGTCGGGGTCTCTATTTGTTCCAGACAGGACTGCAACGTAGATGATGTTCCTACTATAAACCATTTTGTGTAGTGTAACCATTTTCATGTTTTATTTAATGTATACTACTTAAAGTTAATGCAAAGATGACAGGAAAATATCAGATAGTGCTGATCCTATTTAGCCACAAGAAATAATATTTCATTTGAAGGTACTTTAAATTGGGCTTTTTGTGTGGCATAAAATATATTGAAAGAGGCAATAACACATCCACAAGGAACCACTGTATTGCCTTGGTTGGTAGAATGGATGGATTTTTTTGTAATGCAATATAATAAGAGCTATTGAGAAGAGTCAATAGCAGCTTTTAAAATAATACAGCTCTAAAAATATATCAAGGTCAAAATTAGTAAACAAAATACTGGTAAATTTTCAGTGTAGATTTGAGAGAGGCCGGGGAGCACTAAGGAAGAAAAATAAACACACTTTCAGCTGTAGAAGGAAGAAAAGCAAAGGCAGCCCAAGAGAAGACGTTTTTTGTGTCCTGGAAAATACAAAGGAAATTTTATGTTTTGCACTTTAGGAGCTTCAAATGCAGTGATTAAATGGCATTATTTCTCATAACTTTAAGATAAAGCATTCCTGAATAATAATTATAATAATGGTTGACCATCCATTAGTGCTTACTATGCTGTTTTAGGCATCTTATACATGTAGCCCTAGCAGATGAGTACTACTATTATCTCCACTTTACAGATGTGGAAATGGAGGCACAGAGAGGTAAAGTAGGTAAACTGATTTTCCCATGATCCTACACCAGTACAAGATGGATTATGGACCCCAGGAATCTGATTGCAGAGCCCATGCTACTAACTGCTTATACACCTGGTAAAAGAGAACATTCAAAAGTTCAATGATGTCACAGGTCTGGGGGACAAAATAAATTCCACTACCACTGTCAGGGTATGTCAGAGACTCACTAGGTAGACACCAGAGGGCTAAATGTGACAATGCAGAGTGGAATCCTCGCCAGATGCATAGGCTCTTCCTTGGTAGTTTGTTCAATAACAGGTTTCCAGAGGTTGTTATACATCCTGCCACTTAAGAACCCCTCCAATTTAAGGATATGCATCAGTTATGACAGGTAATGATCTGTCCCTCCACCCACGTCTACCAGCAGTGTGTGCTAGGATTTCTAAAACCTCCTATGATGTGTTCACAACCTAGCCACATGCACGCCCCTCCAAAATATGGTCAACCATTTGTGATTGTGTTTGTGCTGGGATGATGCATCGGACCTAAAATATTCAGGAACTGCCTCATGCCCTGCAGTATTCAGAAAAGTCCAGGAAGAAAAAACAGTTTCTTTGGAGAAAGCACAGATGGGCTCCATGTTGATGGAAAGGAAAGACGGAATTTTACAATAAAGCATTGTGCCCAGAGCCTCAGGGTAGGAGCCATTTGAGAGTCAAATATAGAGTCCTTAAGAGAAATAACAAATTAAGTTTTGAGTAAAAACAAATACTGAAAGTTATTTTCATAATTATATTTTTGTTTCAAGATGTCTGCTTCCCCCTTCCCTTTTTGTGGGTGACACTTAAGTCAATTTAAACAACCAAAGAATTTGTTTGCTGGGAAAGTATGAGGGGAACTAATAGCATAGGGACTTCAGAAGATAAACACCCAAGCCTTAGGAAGAACACTTAACTACAAAAGGATATTATTTAAAGAAGTATGTATTTTAAACAGATGGGTCAACAAACTGTGACCCATTGATATATGCATATATCAACTAGATATAAAAATGGAAATTGAATATTTTATTCTCTATTGATCAGCACATTAAAAGTATACATACCAAAAAACAGCAAAAAATATACATACTACATTCTTGTAGAAGATAATCTAATTCTCATTTTTAAACTTTGATTGTCTTACAATTCAGGACAATTAAACAAAAATAGCTTCTCCTTTCTCAGTTGTACCTAATTGGTCTTATATCCTTCCTGAATTGTGCCTTATGAGTCTTTTAAAGAGTAATTTCCCTTTCTTCTTGAAGTTAATCATTAGTTAGGGGTGAACAATCACAAAAAGTATGACTTATTAAGCAATCAGGCAAGAAGTTGCAGACCTGATGTTAAAACACAAATATACCTACTTACCTGGATGGCTCTGACATTGGAAACTGGCTGTTTCGACATATTCACACGGTCTTATCCCTAAAAAAACAAGTAGGAAACTGTTAGAGGCGGCAGCATTCAGATTCTCAGTCTTGATAAATTAGAATTTAACTCATGATTCAACTGGATAGTCACCCCTTTCACTGGCCATATATTCTTTCAGTCTCAGTTTCCAAAGTTACTTAGAGACTCTCCTTCCTAATGCCTGGGGGGGTGGGGGGTGGGAGGGAACACTAGAACGCCAGGATAAATCATTCAGAAGGAGAAATGCTGAGATGCCTCGCCCCTGATGCTAATGATATGCAATCAGAAACTTGAAAGGCGCTATCATCTCCTTCCCTGCCCTCCTGACCCTCTGCCAAGAGCAGCAAAGCAAAGAGGTTGTGGGAATAAAACACCTTTGTTCCGGCCTCGGAAGCTCTCAGCTTGAAACTGAACTTTTGATCTGAATTCATTATTGCCAGGGCTGTGAGTCAGTCCATTGGGAATACCTCCTCTCCACCGAACAGGCCCAAAGAGAAATGACCCGTACCACTTCCTTACTACCGCCATGCTCTCTACTCGCTGGGCACATGTCTGTTCTGCCCAGCGACCTGAGAGAGGCCTCTGTGTGTCCCCCCACACAAAGCCCACACTCTGTAAACACAGGCAGGCAGCAAGCTTCACCTGTTTTCTTTTGTTTCAAGGAGGGTAGTGGGACTTAGAAGTGACCCTGTCAGATCCCCAAGATGTAGAAGTGCTTCCTTCCCAAACGATGTTTGTTTTCTTTCAGCACGAGAGACCTGCCTTAGAGCACAGTGACTAGAGCACACTTGGGAACGTAGGCCATGATTTACTGGGGCTAGGGGAGCAGGGAATAGCCCAGCTCTGGTCTGTTTTTATAGCTTGATCTATTAAATGTCAGCAGGACCAACTGAAAAGTTAAAAATTCATTCAATTAAAAATATGCTGCGTTTTAAAACCAAACTATAGGTCGGGCGTGGTGGCTCATGCCTGTAATCCTAGCACTCTGGGAGGCCGAGACGGGAGGATCGTTTGAGCTCAGGAGTTCGAGACCAGCCTGAGCAAGAGCGAGACCCTGTCTCTACTAAAAAATAGAAAGAAATTAGCTGAATACCTAAAAATATATATATAAAAAGTTAGCCGGGCATGGTGGCGCATGCCTGCAGTCCCAGCTACTCGGGAGGCTGAGGCAGGAGGATCGCTTGAGCCCAGGAGTTTGAGGTTGCTGTGAGCTAGCCTGATGCCACGGCACTCTAGCCAGGCAAAAGAGTGAGACTCTGTCTCGAAAAAAAAAAAAAAAACACCAAACTATAAAATAGGTTGACCGAGTTCTTTCTCTTGACTGGTGTGAGGATATATGTTAACCGGTGAGTGAATGAACGCAGAGAGCAGTGTTGGCATTTGCCACAGGTCCTGTGAAACCTGGACAATGTCAATCAACATTTCTAGGCCCATTTCCTCTTCTTTAAATTTTACCTGCTTCACATGTTGTGGTAAGAATCAAAATGACATAATGCTCCTGAAAAGGCCCTGTGAACTATAAAGCGTGATGCAAATATTTATTGTTTACTGCCATCGTCCACAGCTTGGGACTTTTGAGTGCTGTACTGATCTGTAGCTTTAAGTTCAGAGTAAGAATTGAGGTAGTGATGTTTCTCAACACCTGGAGAGATAAAAGATCTGAGAAGAATTCTGTGAAAAACTTAAGTTTTTTTGAGATCTTCAAAGTCTTAGGCTCTCTTACATTTAGTTAAACAATGGCATATTTTTTTTAAAACCTCTATAATTAGTATATCCAAAAATATAATTTTTGGAGCCATGTACATGAAAACAATGGGACTTTTTTAAAAAGTTTCACCTGAATGTCTTGGTAATATGTAGATACAGCTTCCATGCATTAAAGTCTAGGTAGAATTATTTTTAATATGGTTAAAAAAAATTTTTTTTGAGACAGGGTCTCACTCTGTTGCCCAGGCTGGAGTGTAGTAGTGCAATCACAGCTCACAGCAACCTCCAACTTTTGGGCTCAAGGGATCCTTCTGCCTCAGCCTCCCAAGTAGCTAGTACTACAGGCACCTGCCACCATGCCCGGTTAATTTTTTAAAATTTTTTGTGTGTTGCCCAGGCTGGTCTCAAACGCCTGGCCTCAAGTGATCCTTCCACTTCAGACTCCAAAAGTGCTGGGATTACAGGCATGGGCTACCATGCCCAGCCTTGGTTAAAAAACAAAACACAACAACAAATTGAACAATCAGGGATGCATTTTGCTCCATGATATGTTTCAAATAGATTGCTGTCTTTCCTGCAGTGTCAAAGAGAAATGAAGGGTTTTTTACTTTTGGTTCTAGGACACACAGATCAATTCCAAAAAGAAAAGCTTGGTGACTTAATTTTTAATGTTTCTGTTCCTCAAAAGCCATTAGAAATCAAGCAAAGCAATAATTTTCACAGGACTTTAAATATCTCTGCATATGGTATTCTCTGTGTGTGTTCTACTAAAATTTAATATCACTTGGGAACTTTTTAAAAGTTATTGTACATCGATTTGAAATGAGGATTAGGAAATTCTGTTATGCTGTGACAATAGCAGGCTGAAATGTAAAAAAAATTAGGCAATGAATGATTATGTTATTTATATTGCATTGATTTTTTAAATAAGCCGATTTTGTTTTTTCACTGAGCTGATTGCACTGTTGGATTGCTTTGTTTTTTGTGGACCTTTGAGCCTAACGGCGGGATGGGCCTTGTCTCCTAAACAGTTTTGGTATATTCTCATTTGCATACAAATCTCTTAACATACATGTCAATCTTCGAAAGAGACATCTGTAGAAAGTTGGTCAGATCCCAGCTCTCATTCCTCACAAACAGGCTAGATAACATTTGTGTAAATCAGTTCAGCAGCAGTTCCCACTGTCCTCATTATTTGCAGAGAATCAGGGCAAAGCACACTGATGAATAAAAATAGACAGTGTTCCCTGGCTGTTTCCCTGGCCCTGCGTTCACCTCCATCAGGGATGTAGAGTGTAGCACGCGCCTTCTTTCTTCATCTCCATGCTTCATCTCAGGACCAAAAAAGAAAACTATGCCTTAGATACACACTCCACTCCCACCGGGGCCACTGCTTTTCATCCAAAGAGGTACTCTTTACAGCACTCAATTACTATGCCTCCTGGTTCTGGCTACAATTTGGAAACATGGCAAGTTTGACAAGGCATATATTGACTTTTACAATGCCTGTAATATAATGGAGACGCTTGCCGGCTGAACACCGGTGAGTTTTCCTGGAAGTTCCGCATGTCAGTGTAGAGCTTTAATGGTCTGTATGCTGAGTCATGCACAACATATTGCCGCTTGTTTTTAGTGGGAAGCCCCTAATATCTGACTTCTAAATAAAACTGTTTGACTTACAAAAAATTTGCCAACATTAATATCACTAACTTAATATGAAGGGATTCAGAGGGAAATCAATCAATAGTTGGAGGGAAAGGCTTTGTTTCTTCTTTTTAAAGGTCAAATAAATGGGTAAAGCTCCATCTCAAAAGGAATTATCTTCTGTCCTACAGCTAAAAATAATTCCTGAGCAGGGTGTAGAAAGATGTTCAGCTGTCCGAACTGACTAACTCCTTATTCACTCTGCCTTAAATACGCTGAGAGGGAAGAGCTACTCTTGGCATTCCCATGGTTCAGAACCTGGTGCCCACATAGAAGGGAACATGAGTGCTGCCCTCTACCCTGCTGAGTACAGGAAAACTGTGACCAAAGCGAAGCTTTTGAAAAGATGGTTCTATCTATGTACAAGACACTGACAGAACTTTATCATTGAGACCAAGCCTGGTGCTTCGGGAAAGGAAAAAGGCACTTTAAACTTGTACTGTGGAAAAACTCTGGCAATAATTTGCATTTTGAGTAAACCAAAGAACTAGCATGATAGCTTTTCTCTGCCCCAGATTCTCCTGATTATTTCTCGGCTTAGAGCCTAAATCAGTCCGCAGCTGACCAACTGTAATCCTGGCCAGCACAGCTTCAAGGTCACAATTATCATATCTAGACTGTGGACTTTTTGTTAATGTCACTATCAATGAAAACTGCCTTTAGCTCAATATTCTTTCAGCACCCCCACCTCTCACGATTTATAAAACAGAAGCAGCAATACCACTAATGAACAGTGAATTTACAAGGAAGCTACACCCACTGGTTACAAGCCTACAAAGTTATTAGTAGTCACTCCATGTTAAGTATCAAGGAAATTTCCTTTAGAAAGCCCAGTAGCCGGAGCTGGATCCTTCTGCTTACCTGCTTTATGTATTTGTTTACTGCCTAAGGAAAGTCCCAAGCAGCCAGGTGCAAGAAGACAAAGTTCCTTGGAGGGTGGAAGGGATGCCCGGTGTCCTCTGAGCTGCGATCTCAATTCCGATGCTTTTCATGTGGCTGAAATAGCTCCAGTGCTCTGTGCCTCTCCCGGTATTGAGAGCTGCTCCTGGCTCGGGGCTGGAGGGGAACTCAGTTTAAGGCTAAGTGTTAAAGAGAATTCCTGTCATAGCTCACAGTTGTTCTTCCTAAATATAGAGTTTGATACAAGCCATACACTGGCTGCCTCCGAAAGGCTTGACCGTGCCGAAAGCAGGGCTCAAATGTCAGCCAGGAGGTGGCTACGATATCTTACTGCCCTCCTAATCTTCTGGAAGATGCTGGCTGTACTTTCTCACATATTCTGAGGGCATATAGCCAAGTTCGAAAAGTAGGAAAAGCCTATCTTTAGCTTTATCACCTGGAGGCCAGAAGAGGAGGAGTGTTTAACAAAAACTGGAGGGAGGTAGCGTGACTCTGTGATTCTAACGCACTGACACCAAACAGTGTTTGAGTCCCAGCTTGGTCACTTGGGAGCTGTTAAAGTTATTTAATAATCAGCACTCAACAGATAGTCACCAAATGATAATAATCATCCTATTAAATTGAACTATATGACGTGGCCCTCTCTGTAGGTAAAAAATGGTGGAAGATCAATAGGCTGGTGTGGTTCCAGGGCCCAGAGTCCTGCTCACTCTGTTCTCCTGCCTCTACTGGCGACAGTGCTTTTGACCCCAGAGCAAAGGAGACAACAGAACAAACAAAATAAAGAGGAAATGTCTATTTTAAATATGACAAGGGCCAGGACCAGGTACGAGGCAAAACGTTTTTTAAACACAACACTGCCAAACCCTAAGGCACATGCTCACTATTTTTAACACTACTTTTAATCGTTTTTTAACTTCGTCAGCCTCTGAAATACCTTTATGTAGAAATTTCCTTCAGTAGAAGTATTAAACAGAGTGGACAGACTTACAATCCATCCACTGGATGAAAGCGGGCCCCATATCTGAGTTCCTGACAGCATGCTCAAGCCACTGAACTCTTACCAGCAACTGTGGCCTGCCAGTCTTCTTGCTATGTGAGCAAAAGCAGCTCTGATTTGTATGAGTCCCTGAAGTCAGGTTTCTGTTCCCTGCAGCTGAATGCATTTCAGATGGAAGCAGCTGGCCGTTTTCATGTCTGTAAAAAGAAAAACAACTTTCTGGGAGTTTAGGAGGTCAGCAGATAATTGTGGTTCATTTTAGTTTGAGGTTCACCATTAAGTTCTATTCATGTGCTGATTAAAAGAATTGTGTCTTTAAAATTCAGTTTAGGCATCATGCTTTGAGATCATATGGTGCCAAAAGTGAGTTATTTGTACATTGGAGAAGAGAATATAGTGAGTCTCTTAATATTTCCCCAAGTGTCTGGCTATTCCTGTGTGTTCAGAGCTCTTCACAAAGCAAAAGATGGCATCTCTCCATGGACCAACAACAATGATGAGCCATTTTTGACCCCTTGCCCTGCAGTCAACTCATACATTTTGTCCAGTCCTTTTGCCCCAGTGACGCATCAGTAGCCACTGATGGTGTATATGTTGAGGAAACTGCTCCTGGCAACAATGCCTTGTATACAGGTCTGGCCCATTATGGGCATGGCTGCCTCTGTGGGAAGATCTGAGGTGAGCTGCATAACCAGGGCTCTGCTGGTCATAAGTGACAAAAACCCAAAGTGAACTAGTTTAAGCCCAGAGCGGGTGTGGCAGACACTGTCAATCCCTTTCTCAGTATTGGCTCTGCTCACCTGAGTTCTCCTGCAACTGTAGACAATTCCCAGTACACTGTCAGCTTCCTACCTCAAAAACCTGTATGTCTCTCCTTCTCTGCACCGGGGCTCTCTCCATCATCCAGCTGTAGCAGACATGACCCATGAGTGCCAGAGAGCAACACCCCTAGCGACAAACCTCAACCAATGGGGATGGAAATCAGGTGATAAATGTCCCCACCTCCCTGTCCTCTGGTCAGATGATTCCAAGGTGTGGTCTACAGTTTCCCAGAGGTCCCCAGCAGGATTTAGCTCTGGTTGTCCACAGTTGGGATCTGTTCATCAATATACCCTTATTGGCTTTCTCCTTTCCTTGTCTCACTTCCCCACTCCCTCGCTTGCGTTCTCTGGGATCATCCCCCAAGTAAACCACCTGCAACCAAAGTCCTTGTCTCAGCATCTGGAGTTGAGGCAACCCAAACTAAGACAAAAGGGCTCACTGGGAAGGTTTCATATTGCTAGAGGAAGGGCAGGGGTGCAGGTGGCCCTCAGAAATAACCAAAACAGGAACTCAGATATCACTAGAGAGTGATGAATCTATTTTCCCAACTCCAGTCTTAAAGACCTCGGGATTTTGATTGCCCCAGCCTGAATCAATCACCCACTCCTGGCCAGGGGCAAGGTCACCTAGCACAGAGGAGGCCACTGAGGTTCACAACTGTGGATTAGGTCCTTCCCAGAGAGGGGAATAGTTGTGCACTGAACAGCCCTCCCAACTGGGGTCTCCCAGAAGCACCACGATGACAAGTGCTTTTCCTTGACCTCTTGCCATAGCTCCCTGAAATTTCTATTACTGTTGTCACTTGGTCAATTTAAGGCCCTCATAAAAACAGACACTTGCTGTGTGGGAAGGGTAACAGAGGAAGTCCCTGGTGTACACCAACACATACCAGGTTGATGAGCAACAATTAACTGGGCCCAAGGGGATGGGGCACAAGAGGAGTACATTTCTTGTCAGGAGGATTGAGATAGGAGAAGAAACTGGAAAAAGAAACAAAGAGTCTCAAAGTGTGGAAAATGGGGAGCTAGAGGGTACTGGGCATTGAGGGGGTAGCTTGAGACCTTTTGGCATGTCTCAGTGGAGATCACCAAAGAGGGGCAGGGTGGGGGGTTGTTGGCAAAAACAAAATTCACTTAAGTCATTCTGACCTGCACACCTTCATCCCTCCTCCACTAAGAGCAGTAGGCTATCCAATAACATCTTACATCTATATAGCCCTTGTTCAGTCACAAAGCACTTCTATTTGTATTATTTTATTTAGCCCTCCCAATAGCCCTGTGGTTTAAGTGGTATTATTCCCATTTTATAGATCAGTAAGTCAAAGCTGAGAGTGTTAGTTCAGAGCCAGTTATCTCCAGCTTTTTTTTTTTTTTTTTTTTGAGACAGAATCTCACTCTATTGCCTGGGCTAGAGTGCCGCGGTGTCAGACTAGCTCACAGCAACCTCAAACTCCTGGGCTCAAGCAATCCTCCTGCCTCAGCCTCCCAAGTAGCTGGGACTACAGGCATGCGCCACCATGCCCAGCTAATTTTTCTATATATTTTTAGCTGTCCAATTAATTTATTTCTATTTTTGGTAGAGACGGGGTCTCGCTCTTGCTCAGGCTGGTTTCGAACTCCTGAGCTCAAACAATCCGCCCGCCTCGGCCTCCCAGAGTGCTAGGATTACAGGAGTGAGCCACCGCGCCCGGCCTATCTCCAGCTTTTGACTCTCAAATTTAGTGCTCTTTCCTGTTATAACACAGTGCCCTCAAGGTACCACACTCATATATATGCCCCACATAAGCACATAAGTATGGTATCAGTCATTTAATCATCTCACAAACCTAGGAACCTGAAGGGAGGAAAGTTCTGAGATGGTTCAGAAATTCCCTGAAGTCAAAAAAAACCAGGCTCTTCCCAGTTCCTCTACTCTGCCACTCTCAATAAGTCCGTTTTTTATCCTTATAATCCTTACCTCATGTTCCCAAGATGGCTGCCACTGCTCCAAGAATTGTGATCTTTCCTAAGCATCCAAACAAAAAGGAACAGCAGTGGTGGTGGAAACAGCAGCTTTTCTTCTTAACAAGGAAACTCCCAGAAACACTCAGCTGACTTCCCCTTACATCTCGCTGGCTAGAACTGGCTCTCATAGCTGCAAAGGAAACTAAGAAAATAAATAAACTGCAGAGAGTGAATAGAATAGAAATGATTAGCTAAGATCAAATATGCCATATAAAATCAGGATGCCCTTAGCAATGAAGAAAAGAGAAAACAGCAATGATATAAACAAGACATGCATACACAAACAGAGCTTTAATGGAAAATGTGCTTTCACACATATAATCTCATTTAATCTTCACCACCTTATGAAGCAGGTGTTGTTTATTGGTCTCCATGTTATAAATGACAAAACACACTGAGAAGGTCAAGTCACATGCCTGGGAAGTGGCTGAGCACAAACTCTAATCTAGGTATTCTGGCTCCAAACACCATGTGTTTCCCCTGTTCCTCTACACACAAACCAACAGGGAAAGCTGTGCTGCTCATACTGTTGTCCCATCCGTGAATGCCCTCATGAATAAGACTCTTATCATGTGCCCCAAATTACAGACTTCTTTCGGGTTCCTCTCTGCTTGGTTCTACTGTACCCTAGGTCTGCCTACAGTTTGGGCAAAGGGTAAAATACACCATATTATGGAAGTTCGTAAGTGAATTAATAGATAACTCTTTGTACCATTATGTGTAAACGTGTAACCAAAAAAAAAAAAACAACCTTATAGGTTGACAGAGAGAAGAAAAATTAACAAATGATGATTATGTAGAAAAGATTATGAAACAGAAACCAGCTGTGCTCTATGAAAACACTTTATTTTCCCATAATACTTACTTCTATGTTAAAGTTTAATTTTTGACATCATGACTATGATGAAATCAATGCTTGTTTTTAATCCAGAGAGCAGGTGACAAGGTTTGCCCTCTGGGATGCATGCTGTATGATGACATCCTTCCTTTTCCAGCAGATGCTGGCACTTTTAAAAAGCCTGGTGTGCAAGTGTGGCCCGCCCTGCCCTCCTTACCCCCACCTGACCCACAGCTTCATTTAGCCAATCCAGGCTCCCAACTATGGCAGAAAGTGATTCAACATTTTCTATAACATCTATCACAGTAGCACCAAAATTTCATAAGGCATAGGTGATTTTATTTTAAAAGGATATTCAGTTGATAACAATAAAAAGATACATATCAAAATATTGGTAAAACTCGACTAATGAAACAGATGGTTTCTGACTAAGGAACTGGTTGTAGTTCTCTATATCATAGCACCAGGTAATGGCACTACCCACCCTCCCAGGGCCAGTAGCTTTTAACAACAAGAAGGTTA